TTTCTCACTTTGTTGCAATGATTAGTTCCCAGTCAGGCAAAAGGTATATCATATTTTCAACCACTGTTTTTGTACGTTGGCTTATCGATCCCATGCAATAGCTTTTCAGAAAGAACAAACTAGCAATAGTAGCAGGTAAATTTTGATAACGGACTTACATCTGAACTCGACGACCTCTTGCAAATGCAGTTTCGGTTTTCGCAAGTGATCACCATTTATAAACTTAAATACCTGTCAGTTACAGTATAACATCAATGAATCAAACTTTACCAGTTAGTTCCCAAGGTATAATTGTTTTTGGTTTCTGTTTCTGCTCCGCTACTGAACTAATGTGTTTATTGCAAACAAGGAATTAGTCGCTGTGTATTTTGAAATGTAATTTTTAGCATTGGTTGTAAATTACTATTATTTCGTTTGAAAAAGTCGCGATATATTTTCTATGCAGTACTGTTTAATATTTAGTTTTTTCAGAATGAGTAGTACTAGTATTACTCTAAGCCATGAAACAAGTTTGGTTCTCTCAAAACAGATATTTACATATTATGTGCTAATTTTTCCCCAAAACTAAACCTTTCGATCTGTTAGAAACACATGGATTTTATGCCCGATCCCTGACGTCGACTATGATAACTGGAAAATAAACAGTTTTGATGGTATGATTTCAGTAGTTAAACTTGCGGATAAAATTGATATACCAGAGATGATTTGCATAATAAATGAAGTTGCAATGCAGCTGTTCATTGTATCATCAAATTTAAATAACCGTTGTGCAAGTAATATTGCCGCATAATCAATCTCACTTTTTTTAAATTTGTAATCAAATTGATTTCGAATTCACATGCTTGACATGTAATATTCCATGTCTGTAGTGTCTTAACATGATATGACATTTCTACATCTGCAAATCTGTTTTAGCTCAATTTAAGATTTGAGGAAGTATTCTTGATCTATTTTGTGTCCCTGTTATAATTAATATTTGTTAGTTGTATTTTACATGTGTACCTGAAGAATTTACTGAAACCGTTGAACAGAATGTATGACGCTCTTAGTCAGCTTAAGATTTCGATAGGAAAGAACTGGCTACACTTATACCTGCTTAATTAAAATTGATAAAACGGTAAACAAAAAGAGGTTCGGAAGCATGATACGGTACAGTAGCATGAACCAACATATAAGGCCAAAAAAGTCCATATACGGAATCCTTCAAATTTTAAAGAAGCAGTGAAACGCGAGGTCTTTCACGGACCTTTCCTGCGAATTGAAACTTTACCTTTGTTACAAAATCTAGACGTCTCGCCTAAAAATGGCGGATTTTTTCAGCGGCAAATGATTACGTTTGACATCTTTACACCACAATTTTTGTCACTACGGTGACGTTTTCAAAATTTGCATGGGCAGCAGCCAATTCAATGTAAATGAAAACTGATTAATGCTGCTCAATATTAATTAATTGATGCTTAATCCTAGTAAGTATTTTCATCTTATACGTAAGACAGCGGTAAATCTGAAGCCATGCACTGCAGAACCTTTATTTAAACAAATGAAAAGTCTTAATTTACCCTATTCTTACTGCACAAAGTGCACGCTTTATCTAAAGTTTTTAGCGTCTTTTGTGATGGCCAGTATCGGCGAACACTTTCCTTATTATATATCAGTTCGTACTCGTTGATTGCATTCGCATTTTAGATCCAGATATTTCACCGCGCATTAGTGTTTGAGCCGATGCATTGATAGATTTTGCACTACTATTTGATTTAAGGTTGTTTATATAATTTTCGGTCATGTTTTAGAATCTGCCCGATTGACATTGAGTCATTTGACGGGTCTATTTCAGGCAAATCTCCATAAGTAAAGGTTTAATAAAATCTGTCAGTTCGGTGTGATTGACAATTTATTGTTAAGTGGAATTAAGGACAATCAGGCTCCATTATTGATTGCTTTTAGCTGGAATTTATTTTTGCTCAGAAAAGATAGATAATTATTGCTTATTTAATGTTCCAGAATATAAAGATGCTGCGTCCTATTTGCTGAACCTTTGTAGTAAATATTGTCATAGGAATATTTGTCTTTTTTTGTACCTGCAAATCATTGCCGTATATTCAACTTTGTTTACAGTCTAGCTTTACGATACGAATTTCTGTTAGTTTAAACGTTCGCTGTTGCTTTCTGTTTGTATACTCGAACATCTGCCGTATATGTATGTTCTGAGCGAAAACTTTGTAAAGAAGAAGTTTTGTTTCATTCTTTAACAATGAGTGACAAGTCCAGCGTCAGCGAACTGTTGCAAAAGGCGGAAGGTCTAGAAACGGATATTGTTTCCGGAAAAGGAGAGGTCAACTGGCAAAATCGTCTAGAATTGCAGCGTATTTTGGAAAAGGCAATTTTGTTAAACGTAGACGTTGCGGTTTCAAGGCACGTAGAACAAACTTTATGGAACTGTTGCTACAAAAATTGCATCGATATTTGTATGAAGCTATCGTCACGCAAGGGTGCGCCGGACACGATTATGTTTAATATGTTCCTTTCGGCTGCAGTCGGATTCCTCACGCAGTTCCTGTGCTCTCTGATCCAAACCTACGACTATTCGTGTTCGTTGTTCAAGGGTGACTCGAAACTGGGTATTCTGCAGTCGTCTACCGACGGCACGAAGCAGAAAGCTTCGGCGGGAAACCTGACGTACCTGGTGCAGTTTTGCTTGATTCACATCGGAGACATCTTGCGCCATCAGAAGCGGGCAGTCGAGGCCGAAAGCTATTACCTGAACGCGGTGACGATCGACGGTGACTTCGGCCATTCGTTCAATCAACTGGGTATACTGGAGACGATGCGCGGCAGCGGCCTGTCGTCCCTGTATTACTACACTCGTGCCCTGTACGTGCGTATGCCGTTCGCTCTGGCTTCGTCGAACATCGAAAAATTCTACTCGTTGATCGACCTTAGCTCACCGACAGTGGTCGTGAACCAGGAGAATTTTGTGAACGTATTTTTTCAGCTGTTCGC